AAAAAATGATTTTTTAGGAAACAATTTTTTTTCCTTTTTTTTTTTACTTTTTGGCAATGGAAACAAATTTTATAACTAATTGTAGAAAAAAATATCACTTTAATGGACAATTTCCATGTAAAACAAAGCCAAACGAATAAAAAATTTAAAAATTTTCCAGGTGGAAAATTATACCAATCAAACACACTTGAAATCATTTTCCCTGAAAAATATTTTTTAGGCAAACATTTTCCCTGTAAAACATTTTCTTTCCACTTATTTTCCACCCTTGCAATTAAACGCGCCCTAACGTTTTTCAAGAAGTGCAAATGAGTCCTGAGCCTTACATTTTTGTTAGTGCAATCCTTAAGCTTTGGGTAAATAAGGCCCTGTTTGTTTCTGATTCTCAAATCAATTCTCAAATCAATTCTTATTTTCAACCACACATTCTTCAATAAAATAATATTTTCCATCACATCAATACTTTTTTCTTCTTTTTCAACCACACATTTCCCATCATATCACTATTCAAAATCAATTCTTCCCCCAAAATCTTCGCCAATCAAACGGAGCCTTAGAAAAACTGCAATTTTTTTACTTAGCAGCTTGAATAAATGAGAAAAGGCCACTGATGGGAGGATTCCGGCGATGACCAGCAGTGGTGATAGGTTGTATCAGGTCCCAGGCAACAATGGCATTCCTGTTGATGTTCGAAAACCAGGTGCAAAATGGGTATTCAAGACAAGAATAGTGGGATGACTAAGAAACGGGAAAACTCTAACGTTTTTCAAGAAGTGCAAATGAGTCCTGAGCCTTACATTTTTGTTAGTGCAATCCTTAAGCTTTGGGTAAATAAACCTTGAAATGGTCTTTGGACGGTATCTGTCAAAAAATGAGTTCAATGTTTGACTAAAGTTAACTACTTTTGAGAAAAGCAAAAATTCCATTCCGTATTTGTTACACTTAAAAAGCAATTAGGATAATTAAAATACAAATAAAAAAGGAACTCAAAAAAATAAAGAAAGAAAAAGAAATTCATTAAAAAAAAAGAAATATTCAAATTCCCCACGCCTCCCCCTTCTGACACCCCGTTCACCCCTCCAAACTTGTCATCGTCGTTGCTCCAACCACTCAAGTCAAGCCATCGTTGCTGCCTCACCCCCAAACCCTCTAGTACCCCCACCTCATTTTGGCAAAATCAAGGGCAATTGTTATTTTTGGTTTTTTGAGCTACGACGTGCTTTTCGCCAGTTGATGGTGAGTTAGGATTCGATAAATGATGGTGGTGGTGGGTTCTAGGTGTTATGGTGGTGGTGATTGGTTGTGTGTGGGGTTTGTATCTATTAGGTTTCTAATGGTAATTTCGATATTGCGACAATATGATTTTCGATTTTGGTGGTTCATATGATGGCAACGACTGTAGTTTGGGGGTGCGGATATTTTAGTAGTTGTGATTTTAGGGATGTTGGATGTGGTGGTTCGCGTGATGGTGATGGGTATTGTTCGAGGTATGATGGGATGGAAATTTCGAATTATGAGAACTAGTGGCAGGGGTAACCAACTGTTGTATTAGGTGGTGCATACAATGGTAGGGATGGTGATAGTGCAAGGCACAAGCGGTGTGGTGGGTGTCGGTAAGTCTTTGAGTAGGAGGTTTGGATATGTTAAAAGGATAAAATTTATCCCCTATTCGATTTAGATAAAAATTAAATTTTTTTGTAGAATTTGATAAAATAGGGCTAAGTATTTTCTGAATGTTTTCATTAGTTTTAGTTTTTATTTGGACTCTGTTTGGTACACATTATTTTTTTCATTCTCATTCTTCTACTCATTTTCAACCACACATTCTTCAATAAAATAATATTTTCCATCACCTCAATAACTTTTCCTTCATTTTTAACCACACATTCTCCATCAATTTACTATTCAATAATACATTTTTTCAAAAAAATGTATCCCAAACACACTCTTATTTTGGTTGCTTTTGAGTGTGAATGTGGAGTGCAAATTTTTCTCTTCTTAAAAATAGTATCATTATTGGCAAAATTTATTTCCACTTAGCATATTTGAAGGACAACGAGTTGGCATCGACGGTCCAATCCTTGGCTAAGAGGGATAATCATGTGTTTTAAAATGATTAATTCTAATTAATTTCCAAATGCTTCATAGTTAAGATGAATAATTACAACTATGTTATCCAAAATTTGGGTAGATTGGCATTTGTTGTCGATTCTAATTTTAAAAAAGGATTCATTTGCTAAGAAACCACAAGTTTGGGGATTTTGCTTGTCAAGAAAATCAAAATGGGACTCTTGGTTAAAACATATTTGATTTATTTTTTTTAAATTTTACCTTTCTATAAATAATTTTTTGTTAGTAAAAATAGTAACGAGTAAATGAACACAACCTAAAACGCTGGCCTCAACTTTTCCCTTAAAAAAATAATTATTTGGAATTATCACAATTAAGTCCAAAAGTTAGAGGCTTAGATGCAACACTTATCAAAAGTTGAGGACATCAGCTAGAATTTCCCTGTAATATATGGAGTATGGTGGAGGGAGACAACGTTGGTCATCAATACAAGGAATAGGCGTGTACCAAGTGTATACATGTCTGAACTGGCCATTGGCCGTCTCTCTCTCTCTCGCTCTCGCTGTCACTCTCACTCTCACACGCACTCGCTCTTTCTCTCTCACACACATAAAGCTTAGCAAGATCCCTCCAACCATGCATAAATAACCTTTTCTCTCTCGACTAACCCCACACTTGAAAACTGTACACCCCAATAGAGCCGTTTCTCAGCCTTTTTGAACACGCTCAATACACTCTTTTTACTCTCCTCCTTTCCCAGTGTCTTTCTCCAATAGATAATGTAAACACACAGAAAAAAGCAAGGAAAAGGTGGGCTGTTTTTGGATTACAACGGTTGCTTTCAAAGAACTAACTTGAACTGAATTCATGGCTTCATTTAGCATTTTTTCACTCTTGGTTATCCACATTTGCTTGCTTCTGGGCTTATCATTTGCTGAAGACCCGTTTGTGAACTATAATTTTGTGGTCTCATATATTACTGCTTCTCCTCTTGGCGTTCCCCAGCAGGTCTGATTTTTCTAGATCTCTTTCTAATTTACACTCTTTTGTACTATTCTTACGCGGATTTTGTTCATTTTCTAACGTTTGGAGAAGTGGGTATGCTTTAAATTTGCTTAAAATTTATGGGATGGCTTTAGATTTCTGAAAATTTGAATCGGTAGCATCAGATCTAGGAAATTGGGTTTGGTGTACCGTTGATCAACTATAATGACATGTTTGGTAGTGGGACTGGATAGAAAATGACATGAGGAACAAGAATAAGTTAAAATATTGTTCATTATATAGTCGATTCCAGTTCTCTCTAATTATGCCCAAATACAAGTACCGAACCGTGTTCGCACTTATTACATGTTCTTAAGGATTAAAGTTTGTTGAACTGCTTTACTACACATTGCAGGTTATTGCCATCAATGGCAAGTTTCCAGGTCCCACCATTAATGTCACCACTAACAACAATGTTGTTGTCAATGTGAGGAACAAATTAGATGAAGATCTCCTAATGCACTGGTAGAGTTTCATTGAATTTTCTTGAAATTTTTAGTACCTTATATACTTTTGATAAAGATGCTTGTTTGTTTATGGTGAGTCAGGTCTGGTATACAGCAGAGGAGGACTTCTTGGCAAGATGGGGTGCTTGGCACAAACTGTCCCATCCCTTCCAAGTGGAATTGGACTTACCAATTTCAGGTTAAAGATCAGATTGGGAGCTTTTTCTACTTCCCTTCACTCCATTTTCAACGAGCATCAGGTGGTTTTGGCACTTTCATTATCAATAACAGGCCTATTATTCCAATTCCTTTTGATACCCCTTATGGGGATATCACAATTTTGATTGGTGATTGGTATACCCAAAATCACACTGTAAGTGTTTGATGATTCATCAATCTCATGTCTATTGAAATTCAGGAAATTTGTTTATCTGAATTTATGCCTGATGACTGATTTTCTGATCATTCCTAGGCTTTGAGGAAAACCCTTAATGCTGGGAAAGATCTTGGCATGCCAGATGGTGTTCTAATTAATGGGAAAGGACCTTTTAGATACAATGATACTCTTGTTCCTGATGGCATAGACTATGAAACAATTACAGTCGAACCAGGTGATTGATGATCAACAAGTCTTATCTACGTTTAATAAAAAGCATATATTATATGTATTTACATCATTACATGTGAAATTATTTCCCTCGTCGCCTATATGTTTGAGACTGATGCAATTCCGTAATCTCATAATATTGTATACCTTTCTGAAGTCCTAGAGAGGAAGATGCATCTCAGTGTTGACGTATAGTGTAGCTTGTCAGATATATAAGGTCGTATAGGATTTTGAGGCTGTCTCCACCGATCGAGATACTCTCTTTGTTGTCCAAGAAAAGACAGATTAAATCATAAAAAATTTGGAGCCTGAAGTGCAATTAGAAATTAGATCCATTTTTTCGTCTGGGGGATTCACATTACTATTGTTGGTCATGTAATTTAACTGAAATTTGACAAGATTTGTGATTGTTGAAATAATTCTTGTATATCCATCTTCGAAATTCCAAAGCCTCTGTTTTTAATTGAGAAAAAGGAACAGCTCAATAAATGTATAACAAGAGAGTTCAGTTTGTGCTGGAGTTGAGGTATCCATCATGTGGAAGGTGTTTTAGCATAAAATTGAAATCTAGTAAGATGATTTAAAACTTGACTGTTCGCCGCATTAAAATTAGAGCTTTGTTGCTTTCATTTAAGAATTGAGCAAATTCATAGCCTCAATGGGGGCCATTTTGTAGAGACAAGACTGGTGTGAGAAAAATCTCATATTCTCCATTTTTATTATAGTGAAAAATTTATAGTACTAAGTAGATGTAGGAGGTGAACCACTATCCATGTTTGTATTTCTATTTTCGTTTTGTTAATTGTTTCTCATACAGTAAAAGTAAATAACTTCTGTTTCCATTTGATTAGCTATCGTTATGATGTTTACTGCAGGCAAGACTTACCGGCTTCGTGTAAGCAATGTTGGAATATCAACTAGTTTGAACTTCAGAATTCAGAGCCATAACCTACTTTTAGCAGAAGCCGAGGGCTCATATACAGTACAACAAAACTATACTAGCTTAGATATTCATGTTGGACAATCATATTCCTTTTTGTTAACCTCAGATCAAAATGCAAGCAGTGACTACTACATTGTTGCAAGTGCAAGAATTGTGAATGAAACATTATGGCAGAGAGTCACTGGCGTTGCAATCTTGCACTATACAAACTCAAAAGGGAAGGCATCTGGTCCTCTTCCTGACCCACCACAAGATCAATTTGACAAGACCTTCTCAATGAACCAGGCAAGATCTATCAGGTGTGTTTTCTTTTAAACAAATCATCAGATCATATCAAATACGAATTTTTTAAATCGTAATACTGCGTAACACGAAATATGATTCTTGTCTCTGCTTAAAGCACGTTTGGTTGTACTTAAACTTTCAAGTTAGTTATCATACCGAACATGATTTTGAAAGTTACCTTTTTCACTAACAAAGTTTATTTTTCTAAAAGGTGAGAAACTTTGAAGTAGCAAAACATGCTCTAGATCATACCAATAACCTTCATGGTTATGAATATACTGAATCTAGCTGTATGAATTATAAAATTCATTCTCTAACATTTCGAGTGGTAGATAATATATACACATGTCAAAATTTGATTAATACTCTTCTGAAAATATGTGGAGGATTATTTCCTTTTCAACCTACGCGTTAAATATCCTTTTTTTAAAATCTAAAATCTCGTTCACTCTTTTGCTCATGGAGTCAGTCCTTTGTGTTTTACACAATGCAGATGGAATGTGTCCGCTAGTGGTGCTCGCCCAAACCCTCAAGGTTCGTTTAGATATGGTTCGATTAATGTAACTGAGGTGTATGTACTGAAAAACAAGCCACCTGTAATGATTGATGGGAAACGGCGAACTACACTTAGTGGGATTTCCTTTGTGAATCCTGCTACACCAGTCAGGCTTGCTGACCAATATAAAGTGAAGGGAGTGTACAAGCTTGATTTTCCGACTAGGCCACTTACAGGACCACCTCGGATGGAAACATCAATCATTAATGGTACTTACAGAGGATTCATGGAAGTGATCTTGCAGAATAATGAAACCAAGGTGCACACCTATCACATGAATGGATATGCCTTTTTTGTGGTTGGGTAAGATACGGCTTCTGTTAAAATTCAACTTATCTAGAATCTGAAGGAAATATGGTCTTTCAATTGTCGTTGATCATTTATACACTGGCTTGTCGAATTACAGAATGGATTATGGTGAGTGGACAGAGAATAGCAGGGGCACTTACAACAAGTGGGATGGAATTGCTCGCACCACAACACAGGTACATATGAAGAAATTTTGTTGATACTGACATTAATTTCCTCACAACTTTCGTAGTGTTTTAATGGCGTCGTTCTGGCAGTTAATTGCTGGACTTTTTTTCAACATAGGAGTGAAATTTGATCTATCCAGTGAACTAAAAAAATCAACCAGTTTAAATTTCAATTTAGAAAATCATGACATGTTTTGGTGAATTTTATGTTTCATTAGCCAAACTACGAAATCTGCTGTTTTAGAAGCCTGATTTGTCGTATAAGTCAAGAAACTCAGTTTGCCTTGCACTATCCATCCTGAGGACATGCCATGCTACTTGACAAGGAATTTCAGTACCTTACACTAGGACTTGAGTTTTTCACAGTTTCCACCATTGGGAGATGGACGGAAGTCTTGATTTCCAAACACAATATTGGAATTATTTTCTCACTTTTCCTTCTGTTGTTTAGGTTTTTCCCGGGGCGTGGACTGCAATCTTGATCTCACTGGATAATGTCGGAGTTTGGAACATCAGAACAGAAAACCTCGACTCATGGTATCTAGGACAAGAAACATACATTAGGGTTGTCAATCCAGAGCCCAATAACAAGACCGAGTTTTCAATGCCAGACAATGCCCTATTCTGTGGTGCACTGAGCAAAATGCAAAAGTATATACATTACTCCACGCTCTTGAGTCTTTGTTCACTACTGCGTGCCGAACATGCCATAGTTGTCTATACTGTCTTTTAGTTTCTAGTTAGTTGAGTTTTCTAATTTTCATCTCTTTCACCTTCAGGCCACAGGACATATCTTTTGCTACGTCGATGAAGGGCATTGAATCAAAAGTGTTTTTCAGTTTGCTGTTGATGGCATCTGCATTCATTTCCTTATTTTGATTGAGAAATTCATTTGCAATGCCTTGCTTTATGTTACATGCTAGGATTCCTGGCTTTGCTTAGTGGATTGGGGTTGTGAGATTTTAGGTTTAAGTTTAGCAATGTTGATATGAATCATTTTTATTTCCGGATGCTTTTTAATTTAATGGGATTCGTTATTCTTTTAATACATGGATGTTGTATTATACGTGATTCCACATTCTTGAATCATAGTTTCAGTATTTTAGATACTTTGTATTGCAATGTCTTTGATAATTGAGAATAAAAAACAACTTTCATAATGGAGAATTACACAGCTCATTTCAAGCTAATTCCATCCACATCGTGAAATAAGGCCTCCTCAAATATAAAAGAAAAGAAGAAAGTATGCTCCTCGAAATTAATGAAAGGATGAGCCCAGAAACTTTATGGCAAAATGCCTTCAATTAGAAACCACCATGTTAAAGATCCCCAAGTTTACTGTACTTATGTGGCTCGTTTGGCAGGATTTTTGTTTTTGTTTCTACTTCTCATGTGGGTGACTCAGAATCTTAACATAAATAGTTATCAAAATCAAGCTGTGCAATAATTTCCAAATCTAGAAGAATCAAAAAATTGAATTGAGTAATGATTCATAAGTGGTTGTTAATGGAGTTGAAGTTACTAAATTCGGAGAAGTCGGTATCAATTTATGTTGATCCCACGAGTGAATCGAAAGTTGGATCTACATTTGATCAGGTCGAACACTACAAAATGGGTGGAGCAACCAAAAGTGGTCACACTTTATAAGTTCAATTAAATGAGTTACACTTAGACCGATGCTTAACACTGATGAATACTCTTTGAAATAATGATGCAAAAGGTGATAATGCACGTGTTACCTCAGTGATTCAGCTTGCACTCGAGACAGATATTCAATTCAAGATTGTGTTCATAATCAGTAATCCCCATACAACAGTCAGTAGTATAGCTTGCACTCTTGTTTTATAGAGTAGTCTACAAATTTCTTAAAGATACAGCTTAGAGAAGTTTTTAATATACATGAAACCTGCTGGAGATTCAATTTGCTATTTAGTTGAATAAATAAAAGACCAAGCTGCAAAATAAGTCAACAGGATCAACCAATTTCATATCACATTACAGAAGTGGAGCATTTATTAATGTTAGAACAAAACTGCATCCAACTTGACCTCCAGCCAACTTGAGAAGCAACGTTCTCATCCCCAAGACCTGGTGACTCAATGGAAGTGTGATACCAGATACAACTCCAGAGAAGCTTAAAAGTAACTTACCTGAAATGTTTCTTGTAAGTAATCATCCTCATCGTTAACTTACAGAAAAATAGTTTTCTCCATCTCTATAATTGCAATTATGGTTCCTCCTCTAATATAACATTCATCATTGCAATCTGCTAGAACCAGAAAACTTTTACAGGTCAACAAAAATAAAATTCTCCTAATTTGGAATGATTTCCATTGCTCATCATCTTTTAAATTCACTATCTGATGGGAAATTTCCAACCAACTTGAATAGGCAAGAATTAGTTCTTCACAAAACAAAAATATCAGTATTTTCCTCTCCATGAATACCACTTCAGTTTCAACTGGAACAACAAAGGAGGATTCCCTAAAATTCCTCGTGTCAACCTCGGATCAAACACGTCAAACTGAACACGCTTTAATGTGTCCAGAATAACCTCGGCAGACACAGCTGGCAACAGCACTGGAAGAGCTTCAGTCGGAACTGTTCCACGTAATTCCCGAGCTTTCAGCAAATGAGCATTAGCTACAGATGCCATGTCAAATACTGCATTGCATAGATCCTCACGAGAATCCAGACGAATTTCCTTCTGTCCACCATGATTTACCAACAACCCGTGCTTTTCTGCCACCTCAGCAGGTATGTATGGGAAATGACGGTTTTTGCTAGCATGGTATGGCAGAGACTTGAGGAGCAATAAAAGGCCACTCGCCTTGCCAATATGTGATGCAGCATGGTCTGCTACGGTGGACCTGATACCACCTGATTGAAGCGTCGAGTACAGGATAGTTGATGCAGTGTCCTCAGCATATCGTTCCAACACTTCCAATGTTTCGGGAATATCAGTAACCTCTCTATTGGCATCATTAATTCGAGCTTCGACCGATCGTTTCAGCCAGTTCTTGCTAACTTTGTGTTCAGATATTACGGATGCAAGCGCCCGAGTTACGGGATGCTCAATTAATTTGTTAGAAAAGATCTTGTCAATTGCTTCTTTCCACCATAGCAGGCGCATAAGACCTATTTTAGGATCGGAAGCAACATCCATAGCTCTGGCTGTTTCAACGTTAAAAGCACGGAGTGCAAAAGCAGCCTTCCTCATGTTTGGTGGAAGTTCTAGAAGACAAAGATAATGATGATAGTCATAATTTCGTACTTGCTGTACGCAGTAGGAGAAAGCCGTTCGCAGGCCACTAGATGAAGAAGCACCGCTCATCGAATTCTAATATATTCCCCCCTGCAGCCAGTAAAAGTTGAGCAAATTGTAAAATTTGAGCAAGAAGAAAAAATTATGACATATGCACATTTACTCCTGCATAAAAACCAAGCCACGGACACCTTTACAGAATATCACTGAATAGCCACAGATGATGCTTCATGCTACCTCTTCCATGTATTGGATGGGTGCTACTTTCAAGAGCTAAAAGACTGAATTTTTCATTAAATGACAAACACAATAAAAAACTACAAACTAATCATCATTCCCCATAAACTTAGGGTTGGCTATAGGAATCCGTCTGCGTCATTCTACATTCATTGCTAGATCTACTAAGATATCCAAAGCAACTAGATCCACAACAAGTATAACAAGCTATTATGTAAATTCAGGTCCACCCACCCTCATTTAAATTACTGTAGAGCGATAGTGTCAATCATATAAATGGGAGCCTCTATAAAATGAGAATTACGCTTTTAGGGGGAGTCAAGGGAGGGAGGTATCAAGCCTTGACCTCAGTTGTGGAAACAACAATCCTTAATCAACTGGGACAAGGTGAATAGGTTGATAATAATACTACTAAATCTGTGTTTCTACGTCGGCTCATGAATCATGATGAAGTTCAGCAAAAGTGTTTGATTTAACCAGAAAAGATTCCCCAAGCAGAACTCATGAATTACTGAAAGGTTCATCATGTATTTGATTAACAGTATTCACCTTTAGACGTGATTATACTTTTTGTGAGTATCAGCTTTTACGTTAACCACAGAAAGCAGTCGTTGATCCATTTCCAACCCATTACATCTTTGTTTGTGAACCATTACTGTGAACCAAATTCAATAATAATAATAATAGAAATTTGGTTTAAAAAAAGTGATAATTTCCGAACCGTCGCTAAAATTAAAAATTTTGTTGAAATCGTGGAACTGCAAAGAGTAATTCGATGATAAGAAGCAAATTTATAGCTCAAGTGAACTCTTAATTAAACATAATAGTTATCATTCAATGACCTTTCGGTCCCAACACTTCGCATTCGAAAAGTAATTAATTTATTTAATTTACATTGTGATTCATATAGCTGGTTCTTCATTATCCGAATTGAAATTCCATCTGGGCTCCTAACAACGAAATGCATTGACATTTCTAGTAATTGAACTTTGCACAAGTAATCAGAGAAGAATATGAGCAAAAAAACCAATAAATAAACCTAGGCGTGCAACAAATCTATAACAAAATAGAGTGAAAAATCCAAGAAATAAAATGGAAATTCAATTAAACACCATCCCATTTCTCAAAACCCTCAAAAGTTGGTAAACAAGAGCTAGGTTACCGTGTTTGGTAAACCCATGAGTAAAAATAGATCAGAAAAATCACTAGAATATGCTAGATACGCAAACTCAGAAAAGAAATTCACATGGAATTGTGCCAGAGTGAGTTGTTTTTTACGTTTAGAGAATAAAAGAAAATTTGCCTGATCTTGAACGGCGGCGTAGAACCTGATGAAGAAAGACGAGCTCAATGAACAGAGGATATGCTGATTCTTTTGGTTTGATTTTAAACATCGAAGCCGCTTTAGCTATGGCGTGTGGTGTGGGCGAGGCTCAGTTGAGTTCACTAGACCACGAGTCCATATTTTTAAAAAAAGTAAAGAGTCCAATTGGTTTAAATTTCATGGAACATATTACATTCGTGAAATTTAGGGTCTCTTCTCTTTATCATTTTTAAACCGTTTTCTATTTTCAATTTTTCAAAATCGTGAAAACACGTTCTCTTTCATATTTTCGAAAACGCGTTTTTGAAAACGAAATTTTTTTTTTTTACACAAAACACCAAAATGAGGAAAAAGTCATTTTGGGCGTTTTCAATACAAAACTCGTAAAAATTGGAAAACACGGGAAACGGCTGTTTCGGAACAGTTCGATATGCAATCCCAATTCCTTCGACGGTTCGATATCTTCCCCCTTCTTCCAATCAATCATTCCCTCTTCTTCCAATCATTCCTTCTCTCTGGATGTCGGCTTCTCTCTTGTCGATGCCCACGAAGGAGAGGCGTCGGCGACCGACGCCGACGTGGGGAGAAGGAAGAGTGAAAAGGGAACAAAAATGGAAACTTATGCTTGGCTGTTCTCTCCTCTCACCTTTTTACTTCAATTAATCCACTCGATGTCGTTTCTTCGGGGATTTCGAACCTTCGAGCTGCGCAGCTGCCGTGGCTCCACCGTCGAATCTGAAAGGTTCATTGACTATAATCGTCCCGGTAAACGGTACTAGGCTCTGGTCTCTAAAGAAGGCACCGTCAAAGCCACCGACTTGAAAAAGGTAATTGATATTTGAAAATTGAAATCTTTATTAATATTAGTGATGTTGTTTGAATTATAACTGGGATTATTCTTGCATTTACTGTAATTTTTATAGATTTATATTTCACCTTATTTTTAGTTCTTCTGGCCGTTTCGTCGAGTTCATTGACAAATTTATTTGAATCTTGCTCTGATTTTCTTTATCGTTTTCTCGTCTAAATGAGGGGTACTGAAAGAAACAATCTTTACTTAATGGAGCTTAGATGGGGTGTTTATACATGGAAGTGAGGAATGCCAAATGCGTAAGTGTGGTTTTTGATATCCTACAGTGATTTCTTGCCCTTGGAAAAGTAATTATAAAGTACTGGGACTTGTACTCATGAGTAGAGTCTTGCAATGGACAAGCGATTCAACGAAATACTTTTTATTGGTGAAATCTGCATGTTGTTTTTGAAGATTCTGATATAAGAGAGTATTGCAGATTACAACAGGTAAGAATGACAAGGGGCTCAAGCTTTACGATCCGAGGTATCTTAATACGACTCCTGTGCAATTGTCAATTTGATTGATGGTGATGAAGAAATTCTCAGATATAGGGGTTACCCGATTGAGGAGCTGGCTGAGGGAAGTTCCTTCTCGAAAGTGTCTTAACTTTTTAGTAAGTGCTACTACTATATTCCATGTGCGCTTGCATCTTGAGTATCTAAATTTTATGCTGGTATATTGCACCAGTTTCAGTTCTTATCTTGTCTAATCTATATCATGATGCACCATTTGAAATCCGTTTTCTTAATCTTGCTATTCATTGCTGATGGTTAGATTAATCTTATTGTTAAGCTAACATCGAACGAACATCTCATTTGTCACTTTTTTGAATTGTTGTCCAATCGAACATATCAAATTGTTGGGTGGAGTTCCATCCTAAAGGTTGAGCAATTAAGAAGAGAAGTTCAATTCCCTCATGAAACCATTATCTATTCATGTCTAGCTGACATGGGACTTTGTTCACACTTCCCTAAAGAGATTAGAATAATGGCTTAGAGCTACATTAAATCTTGAAGTTCTAGGTTAAAGAGCAGGCTTTTAATTTGTTTAATGATGTGATTTGAAATAAATTTAGTTATAATTGTGCAACTGTAAATGTGATGATGGGTGCGTATTTAAGGGAGGGTAAAGTTGAGGAGGCTGTTTATAGCACTGTTGTTCGAGTTGCTTGTATGAAACTGGATGCAAACGTTGATGCAAATGTTGATTTGTGATCACCATTTATGAACACTTTATTGAGATTGCAAGCACCCTCTCTTTGCAAAGCTGTTTTTTATTGCGAATTTTATACCAAAAAAATTATTTGAAAATATGGGAGTTCTAATAAACTATGAGTAGTGCAACCATTTTCAATAATCTTAAAGTTGCGCATTATACTTGTATCTTCCGTTTGTTTATGATAAATAAAAATGCCTAGTGTCATCACTTTAGGTGCCTTGACTTATAGTGTCAATCCCAATTGATGCTAGGACATACTAACTTGTAAAGACCAAAAGGCGAGACCAAGAAAAGGTCAAGTCCATGCCGAGCAAAACATGACCAAAAAGCAAGATTGGGATAACTTCCTTTAATTGTTGTATGATGAACTGGAAAACGATTACATTGACATTATGTATTGTACAAGTAAAAAAGACATTCTTTTGAATTTATTCGTATGTCCGGTATGCAAGGTGATTTGGGTTCGATTTTGCACATATGGGATTGCTGATTGAAAGCATTTAACTGACATAAAGGCCTGTAATCCTATTTATTATTTGAAATGGTAGTTATATTGGAAATGTTAAGACTGAAAAATGTTCCATCATTTGCCTCAATCAGGAAGGGTTAGGCATGTGGCTAGTTGAATTGATCCGATCAACTTCCGAAGCACCATTTGATTTATAATGAAGAAAATTTTCTTGTGTACAAGTTTTATAACATTCAGAACTGCATTCGGACACTCAAATAAGGTTTATACTTGTATCTTCCGTTTGTTTATGATAACTTTGGCAGGACAACTTGATTTAGGTGATTTATTTCCCTAGGTGAAAGTATTGAATTTGATCAGTTGGAATAATTTTAAGATGTTGAAGATGCAGCGTAAACTTGATGTTAATCTTGACGCCATTATTGATGAGCATAGAAACAATTTGATAGCAACTTCAAAATTTATATGTTATTTAGTACTATATTAATATTAAACTACTAAAATGTATTGAATAATGATATTTTTTGAATAAAATATTATAAAAAAAATTCTCAAAATTTCAAAATAAACGCATTTTCTAATTTTATGTTTTCAGAAACAATTTTCCAGAATGACAAAAAAAACGCATTTTCAGCAATTTCAAAACAGACGCTCAAAACACAAAACACAAAACGAATTCAAAACTCAAAACAGAAAACTGAAACACGAAGAGAACAGCCCCTTAATTTTTACTTTGGTTGTTTGATACAAAAGTGAAAATAGAGTTCGAATTTCAAGGTACAACCACTTTAAACTTGTTTATTGCCAATTTCTTGGAAAATTGCATTTTTATGGGGTACTTAGGTTTTTATTTTCTAACTTACATGAAATTGAAAAGTTTTTCTACATTTGTCAATGAAACGGACCCTAAGATTATTTATACAAAAAAATAAAAATTAAACCTACATGAAAATGAGCTCGTAAGTACATTATCAATACCAAAACTATTAATTTACCCCCAAATTAACGATATTGAAGTCGAAGCAATTGCCAATGCTTTAGTTGGTGTGATGTGCTTATTCATCGATATTGATGGGGTTAAAAGAACTCAAAATTTGGTTCGAATCTAGGAGTTGTTGTTGATCTTTTGAAGATGAGAACAGTACTGGGGCTAGAAAAATAATTAGGCGCAAAAATTTATATACATCGACGTATTGAATGATCTTAAACTCGAGTACTAGGACAAATTTAGGAAAATAGTAGAGTTTAATGATGTAGTATGGAGAACTATCTTGAAGGATTCGAGCTCAATGATGCCTTCATCGGAAATTAGTTAGGTATGGAACTTTTCAAGCAGCTTTGTTTTGATTTCGTGTGAATCGAAGTTTAAGGAAACAAAGTGTTTTGGTGGTTGCTCAAAGCAAATTCGACTATTTACAAGTGTACGTCGGGAAGCTTAGTAGTGGATCCGTTTAAAAGACCTCGTTTGGCAAACTTTATAAATTGTTAAACTTTATTTTTAATCACATTTCTGTAAACCCACCAGTACTATCGATTTTTTATTTCTATTCATTTATAAATTATTTCAAAATTGATGCTAAACCCATGTTTGGTATACATTTTTTCAAAATACATTCTTTCAAAACTCATTTTCAACCACACATTTTTCAATAAAATAATATTTTTCATCACATCAATAATTTTTTCTTACTTTTAACTACATATTTCTCATCATATTACTATTTAAAATATATTATTTTCTCACTAATATCCATCAAACACACTCTAAACTCAAATAAAGAAAATGTAGGGAGTTGGTAGACTTTTTAATCTTTTAATTTCTCTATCATATGGTCAAAGGTGAAATCAGGGACGGAGCTTGAATGAAAGAAATGTGAGGACAATTTTCATAAAATTTTAATTGTGGAAGCAAAATTGAAAACTATAAAGATTTTTTTTTTTTAATCTTAAAAAAAATTTGAGCAAAATTTTAAATATAGTGTTGGGATAGCTGATCCCACTGCCCCACACTAAATCCATCTCTGGATGCAATCGAACCTCGATTAAACCTATGTAAAACATAGTCGGTGCTTGCTCAAGAAGATTTTGTCTTTCGCTAGGAGCTACAACATCTCCAATGAGGGCTGTAAATTTGGTGTAAAATCCACTCCATCGAAGGGTTAAATGTAGTACAAAATTTAATATAATGAATTGTATTACATCTGTGCGTAACATTATTCATTTACATCAAATATAAAAAAATTTAATAACCCTATTTTGCCATTTTTTCCACCTTACGAAAAATGTTTCTTCCATATATGTCCCTCTTTCATATTTTATTATTAATATATTTTAATTGACTTATAATTATTTTAATATGATGGTTATTTTTATTTAACATTTATTTTTAAATTCAAATCAAGTAATAAGTAATAATTATTTAAAATTGTTCAATGTAACTTTTATTTACGATATTATGTTTAATGTTTTTTTTTTCAATTTATTAATAAATACAATATATTAATTCATTAATTATAATATCTAATTAACCATTTTTGTAATAATATAATTTGTAATTAAATCATTCAAAATAAATTTTGGTGTAAAACAATCTCCAATAGTCTACACCAAATTTGGTTAGGCCATTGGAGATGGACTAAAGAAGTCAACTACACACTATCAAAAACACCAAAATAATAGTTTGAACCCCATTATGTTGAAAAAATAGATCTTGTAATAGTGATTTTTTGAAGAATATATAATTAAAAAGTAGTAAAAAAATTTAAATTTAAGTGTAAATTATTTTATTAGAAGAATGTGATTGAAAATAAATTTGAAAAAAAATGAATTTTGAAACAATGATGCTCAAATGGGGACTTTATCATTCAATATCAACCGTCGACACTTTCCACTTTGAAAAACTCGCGTAGTCGAATTTTTATTGCTAATTTGTTGAATGGGAGCTTGGGGTTATCAACTGTGCAATTATGCTTGTTTGACGATATTATTGGAGAAAAATAATGTTATTTGCAGTTGCTCACTATCGTAATTACCCTACGTGGTATACATGTGGCGGTTATTGATTTGATGCATGAGACAATAAAAAATTATCATATTAACAGTATCAAATCACTAACCGTCACATGTACACTCACATTGGACGATTATGGTAATAAGCGATTTCAAATAGTATTACTCTATTGAAGAATCCTTAATGAGGAGAAATAGAGCATGACACATCATTTAATTAATAAATAAATTGTAAAAGTGATATAATTAATCAATTAAAATGACACATTACCTCATAATAGTTGACCATTCATTTTTCCTTGACTACGTAATTTACCTTTTCAGTTCTGCTACAGAAACATGTTCAATGACAGATTTTTATACATGGATACACTTAGCAAATTTTCATTGATAATTAAAAAAAAAAAAAGATTAAAAGTGTGTTTGATGTACATTTTTTATGAGAGAACGTATTTTTTTTGTAATGTGATGGGGACTATGTGGTTGAAAAAGAAAGAAAAGTTATTGATGTGATGAAAAATATTATTTTATTGAAAAATGTATGGTTGAAAATGAGTAGAAAAATGATAATGAAAATGAGAATGTGGCTCAAATAGATGCTAAATAAAAACTGGTAAATCGATTTGTCAAAATATTTTGTCATTGAGTCTGCTCAAACAACATTACTCTTACCTATTATACTATCACTAAAGCTATAATTAGACCATTTTGTCAGAAAAATTGACACTACTGTTGATATCCTCACATGAATTAAAAAAGAAAAAAAATTCCCCCCCATTGTGAGGGTTGTGAGGAAGGGTTTCCTCACAGAATTCTTCCTAGAATAATGTTGGTGTACACTCAATTTGACAGCTCCCTCCTCCTTTTGCGAGGGGCTGTCGCACATGATACATCTAACATGGGTGATACTATACGTACATAATGAGGTGTTCATAATGGTGTCCACCCCCTCACATGGAGGGGGACTCACTTCGAATAAAATATAATATATCCAAAGTGAGTTCCCCTTCATGTAAGGAAATTGACACCGTTATAAACACGACATTATGTACAAGTAGCACATTCCTATCTAACATTTCTCTTGTTTCTAAAGCTAACAATAAAGCTGATTGCATTTGCCCTATACAACCAGGAGGCGCCACATGAACAGGCCCCCCACTTATAAGGGGGCGCCATGTGGCACCATGATCTGTACAACCCGCCCTAATTCCCATCGAACTTTCCACCTTTTGGGAGTGGGTAAATTTTTTTACTTTTTTATTGACGCGGGACCCACCTTTTGTGAGTAGGGTTCTGTGAAAACACACTCGACTTTACTCGACCTATAATTTTCTCAAAACCCTCTCAGCAACTCCGTCAACTATAACCCTTCTACTACATCAACATAAGAAATCCTCGAAAAAATCAGCTATTTAAGAATAATAATTAATGGCCGATGACGCCAAGGCCAAAGGAAACTCGGCGTTCGCCGCCGGGAATTTTAACGACGCTATCCACCACTTCACGGAGGCCATCAACTTGGCACCCAGCAACCATGTCCTATACTCCAACCGATCCGCCGCGTATGCTTCCCTAAAAAGGTTTTCCGAAGCACTTTCTGATGCCCAGAAGACTGTTGAGTTGAAGCCCGATTGGTCCAAAGGCTATTCTCGGCTGGGTGCAGCTCAAATGGGCTTACAGAATTATACCGATGCCGTTTCTGCTTACAAGAAGGGTCTTGAGGTCGATCCGAATAACGAACCTTTGAAGTCTGGGCTAGACGGTGCGGAAGTTGCTCTGGCTCAATCTTCCAAGTCTCGAGCGGGGCAGGGTGCTAGTCTATTTGGAGACGCATTTGGACCGGAGATGTGGGTAAGGCTGGCGAGTGATCCAACTACCCGCGGGTTCTTGCAGCAGCCCGATTTTGTGAAAATGATGCAGGACCTTCAGAAGTCTCCGAATAATTTGAACTTGTATTTGAAGGACCAGAGGATGATGCAGGCATTAGGAGTTCTGTTGAACCTAAAGTTCCAAACAAGGGGCGCTGAGGATGCCGAGGTGCCTGAGACGTCAAGTGGCTCGCCAGAGAGGAAAAGGCCTGCTGCAACTGAGACAGAACCGGTGAAGGAGGAGAAGACGCCCGAGAAGGAGCCAGAGCCTGAACCTATGGACCTCTCGGAAGAGAAACGGAGAAAAGATCAAGCCCAGAAGGAGAAGGAAGCTGGGAATGCTGCTTATAAGAAGAAGGATTTTGAGACTGCAATTCAACATTACACTAAGGCAATTGAGCTTGATGATGAGGACATTTCTTTCCTCACCAATCGTGCCGCCGTTTACTTGGAGATGGGAAAGGTACATTTGATCTTTTAGTTGTCCCACCATTTTTACCATTGTTTAACTAAATTGACCATGTTACTTTTTGGAGTTGCAGTTTATATTCTTTTTCTGTTTTTATTAGCAATAAAAGATGATATAGTAGGTTTTGAGTGACTTCAGTTGTTTCTCGATTTGACTTGACTAATTTGATCATGATTGACTTTTTGGAAGTGACTGGAAAATAGACTTCAGTTTTTAGGTGATTATGTTGCATTTTAGTGTTGAGGAAGGCAAAGTTGCGTTCCCCTCTTTATTATGATTTTGCGAAAAACTAGCCTAGGAAAGATCCTAGATTAGATTTTCACGGTTCACTTTAACGGAGTTGTTTAAAAATGTGGGACATGAGAATCAGACAAGAGTATCCTTTAGAAATTGCTATTTTAATAATATTCGAACACTGGCTGACACGTTGATAATGTAAGATGCTGTTAGTTGCTAGATTCTAATAAGTTTTGGTATCTTTTGATGCTTTATTTTCAGTTCATTGTACCCTCTTCCAATAGGACACAGTTACTTATTATTGTTTTTGGTGTTTTCTGGTATAAGTTAGTTTGACCAAATACCAATTGAATGCGGGTGGGCATTACATGTTTAGTTCTTGACTATCTTCTGTCAAATCAAGCATTATGATCGTATGATTCCGGCGGGGGAGCCCTCTCAGATCTTTTATAATGTCGATAGATCTAGCACGTGGACGCATGTCATGGTGGTGAAGTTTCTTCTTAATGAGGCTGATGGAGGATTACGGGCTGTGGCTAGGAAAGATTTCTTGAACTGGAGGACCTCATTTATGATAGTGATTTATGACCCAGAGCAAGCACTAGAGACAAAAGTAACCGAGAAAAGAAACGTACATTGGTTTAATCGAAACTAAAGTTATTGTGCTGGAGAGCAATTGCACCCAAAAAAATTGACTTTTGAATTCGTGGGGAAGATTTGAAAGCCCTAATCTTGCCCTTCTGTTGATTCTTGTTTGACCCACTTTGCATTTCTATTATTGCCCTTTCCTCGTCAGTTACTGCACTTCATTCATCATTTTGGGATTGTGGGGGCGCTTGCTCGGATCTTTTAGAATGATGGATCTTGCTCATGTTTATGCATGTCATGATGATGAAGTTTCTTCATAATGAGGCTTGTGGAGGATTATGTGCTGTCTCGGAAATATAGTTTTTAAAGGCGGTAACGAGGTACGCCTCAATGAGAGGCGCTCAAAAATCAAATTGTGGTACGAATATTTAATGGCCTTAATGAGGAGATTATGCCTGCATTGATTGAGGTGCAGGCCTCAGACAATGAGAGACGTGTGCCCCTTTTAAATCACCTGGGTCTCACTTATTTTTTAACCTCACAAATTGTCAAATTCACTAGTTGACCTGCTTTGGAATCCACTACATTTTAATATGCATAATAATCCGTTAGCTTTGGAAATTTATTTATATTAAAACCTATCTTGATTCTTTGATTATTTGTTAATTAGCCATAATCAATAATAAATTAAAAGTTCAGCGAAAACCCAAAAAAAATAAAAAATGCACATGACTCTAAAATTGCAGCACTCCGGTGATGGCGAAATAACGTCTGCCACGACAGCAAGTTACAGAAGCTGAGATTTGGCAGCGGAATTAGTAATTTTATTGCCTGATTTAGTAATAGTGACTAGTGATCATATGGGTGGCTTTTATCTTTCTGTCTATGCTGCAACTGTATTGATTTATTGTGTGTGTTTGCAATGATACATAGCTTGTTTTATTGTTTTGGAATTTTAAAGTTTGTTTATGGTTTATTATACACTTATTTTTGAATTTTTATATACTATTTTTGGATTCACGGCAAGTTTTATATGCCTCAAAATGTGCTGAGGCTTTACTCCTTGCGTAACTAAGAAAATGCCTCAGTACTGATTTAACCTTTTTAAACACTGCACAGAAATGTTTATTGAACTGGAGTACATTCTTTATGATAGCGATTTATGACCCGGAACAAGCACTAGAGACAAATGTAATAGAGAACAAGGAAGGTGTATTTGGTTGCTTAGCATAATTGGGAACTAAAGTTCTTGTGCTGGAGAGCAATTGCATGTGAAAATTTTGACTTTTGAAATCATGGGGACTAAGATTTGAAATCCCTAATCTTAACCTTTTGTTTCTCATTTGACCCCTTGCATTTCTATTAAGGCCCTTTCCTCTTTCCAGTTATTGCACCGCATTTATCATTTTAGGTATTGTGGGGGGCATCCTCTTGGATCATTTATGATGTTGATGGATCTTGAACATGTTTATGCATGTCACGGTGATGAAGTTTCTTTATAATGAGGCTGATGCAGGATTAGGGGCTGTAGCTAGAAAAGGTTTGTTGAACTGGAGTACATCATTTATGATAGAGATTTATGACCCAGGGCAAGTACTAGAGACAAAAGTAACCAAGAAAGGGAAGGTCCATTGGTTGCTTAGCATAATTGTGAACTACGGTTATTGTGCTGGAAAAATTTTGACTTTTGAACTCGTGGGGACTTAGTTTTGAAAGCCTTAATCTTACCCTTTTGTTTCTCATTTGACCCCTTGCAGTTCTAGTATGGCCCTTTCCTCTTGCCTATTACTGCACTGCATTCATCATATTGGGTATCGTTGGGAGAGGGGGGAGGGCACCGTCTTGGATCTTTTATGATGTTGATGGATCCAGCACATGTTTGTGCATGCCACAATGGTGAGGTTTCATCATAACAAGGCTGATGGAGGATTAGGGGCTGTAGCTTGGAAAGGTTTGTTGAACTGAAGCACCTCTTTTATGATAACGATTTATGACTCGGAGGAAGTACTAGGGTCAAAAGTAACATAGAAAAGAAAGGTGCATTGGTTGCTCAGCATAATTGAGAACTAAAATTTTTGTGCTGGAAAGCCGTGGCGTGCAAAAAATTTGACTTTTTAAGTCGTGGGGACTTGGATTTGAAAGCCCCAATCTTAACCTTTTTTGTATTTTGTTTGACCCTCAGCATGTCTATGATGGCCCTTTCGTCTTGTAGGTTACTGTACCAGATTCATCATTTTGGGTATCGTGTGGTTAGAATATAATAGGATTTTGTTTAGGATATAGTTCATATCTCTTGTTAAGCCCTAAGGAGCACCAAACCGTCGGGTGGTGCCTTTTATACCAACTTCAAAATAGGAACAGCAAATAAACCTAATTCATCAAGACTGCTGTGTGTTTTCATGTATTAGGGATGACTGCATGAAATCGAGAGGCATGCCATGTGATGGTGATTGAGTGGTATGCTGTGATTGACATTCAGAATACCTGCACTTCTGTACATTGAGGTTTTAAGAGTTATTAGGATAATCTTGGTTTCTCATGACTTACTTCATCTCCCTCCCTTTCTTGCAAAGACGATGGGGTATAGGTGC